AGAATGGCTTGAACCCGGAAGGCGGAGCTTGCAGTGAGCCGAGATCGTGCCCCTGCACTCCAGTCTGGGCAACAGAGCGAGACTTCATCTCAAAAAAAAAAAAAAAAAAGGAAAAGAAAAACGAAAAAACGAAGAAGAGAAATCTCTGACAGAGCTTTTGCTGTGCTGTGAGTTTACCTCCTCCCCACTGAGGAAAGCTTCGGGCAGCCCATTTCCTTCACTTCATGCCTACAGGCTTCCAGCCATTTGGGGAGCTTGTCAGGTATGTTGGTGCACATGGAGACTCTCTGGTCACTTACTGCCCACCTGAAAAAGGCAGGCAGTGGTCGGCTGTCAGCCCACTCATGCAGAGGCGTCCCAGGATGTTTTTGTGTTTCCCGTGAATCAGATATAGCCATGCAGGAGACAGTGCCCTTGGATCCTGTCCAGTAAGGCTACCTGGAAGGGCAGGAAGCTGAGGGTGAATGCCAGATATGTAGAGGTGAGGAGGAAGTCAAGGTACATGCACCCAGGGATAATCACTGGAGAGAGGTCTGGCATGGTCATCTGCAAAGAGTTGATGAACACTACAGTCCAAAAAATAACATCATGTATTGTCGTAGTCTATTCGGGCTACTATAACAAAATACCTTGGACTGGGTAGTTTATAAACAGCAGAAATTTATGGCTCTTAGTTCTAGCGGTTGGGAAATCTAAGATCAGGGTGCCAGGAGATTCAGTGTCTGGTGAGGGCTCAGTCTGCTTCAAAGATGGTATTTTCTCACTGCATCTTACATGGTGCAAGGGGCAAGCCAGCTGTCTTCAACTTTTTTTTTTTTTTTTCTGAGATGGGGTCTCACCCTGTCACCCAGGCTGGAGTGCAGTGGCTCATCTCAGCTCACTGTAGTCTCTGCCTCCCGGTGGAACCTCCTGAGTAGCTGGGATTATAGGCGCATGCCACCACGCCCAGCTGATTTTTAATTTTTTTGTAGAGACAAGGGCTTGCTATACTGCCCGCATTATCTCGAACTCATGCACTCAAGAGGTCCTCTGCCTTGGCCTCCCAAAGTGCTGAGATTATAGGTGTGAGCCACCACACTCAACCAAGATGTTGTAGTTTTGAAAGCATCTCAGGCAGAAGCAGGAGAGTGCAGTATCCAGCATATATTAGCTTATTTATGAAGTCCTCTGAGATGCCACCAGGGGAGGGGGCCACTGAGTAAGGTTCTGCAAGTACAGGTAGAAATAATTATCTAGGAAAAAAAAAAAAGGAGAATAAATGTAAATGTGAACTTATTTATAAATACAGGTGAGAGAGGTTTGAAAACATCAGAAAAATATATGTATCTTCTAAAATTTTGAATGTGAGGAACACACAGCGAGGGAAGGATTCCCTTATTTTTCATTATAGCAGGAAAAAACAAAACAAAACCCATATACCCTCGACAGAGATGCATCTGGATCCCCTTTAAGATTTGAAGGAACGGCCTGGTGCGGTGGCTCACACCTATAATCCCAGCACTTTGGGAGGCTGAGGTGGGCGGATCACCTGAGGTTGGGAGTTTGAGACCAGCCTGACCAACATGGAGAAACCCCATCTCTACTAAAAATACAAAATTAGCCAGGCATGATGGCGCATGCCTGTAATCCCAGCTACTCAGAAGGCTGAGGCAGCAGAATTGCTTGAACCTGGGAGGCGGAGGTTGCAGTGAACCGAGATCACACCATTACACTCCAGCCTGGGCAAAAAGAGTGAAACTGTTTCAAAAAAAAAAAAAAAAAAAATTGAAGGAACTCTTCCTTCCTCAGAGGAGAGTGCCCAGGAA